AGTTGACCACAGCAAGTGGGGAAGTTGTTGCTTCAAAGCCGGCAGTCCTTTCGGAAGTGGAAGACTTCTACAGCCAGTTGTACGCATCACATGCATCTCGACCCGATCCCGGAAATGAGGATTCTAGAGCCACATGAACACGCCACTTCACCGAAGACCTGCCAGAAGTCAGTATTGGCGAAATCGAAATTGCTCTTGGACAGCTTAAAAATGGAAAAGCCCCTGGAAAGGATGGTGTTTCAACAGAACTCTTAAAGGCTGGAGGTAAACCCGTACTGAGGGAGCTCCAAAAGCTTTTCAACACTGTCCTGTTCGAAGGGAGAACTCCGGAGGCGTGGAGTAGGAGTGTGGTTGTCTTGTTCTTTAAAAAGGGGGACAAGACCCAACTTAAGAACTATCGACCCATATCCCTTCTAAGCCACGTCTATAAGCTGTTCTCAAGAGTGATCGCGAACCGTCTTGCGCGAAGACTTGATGACTTCCAACCACCGGAACAGGCTGGGTTTCGGAGCGGATACGGCACCATAGACCACATTCACACAGTGCGGCAGATTATACAGAAGACTGAAGAGTACAATCAGCCCCTGTGCCTAGCATTTGTGGACTATGAGAAGGCCTTTGACTCGATTGAAATCTGGTCTGTTCTGGAGTCCCTGCAGCGTTGCCAAGTCGACTGGCGATACATCCAAGTGATTAGATGTCTGTACGAAGCCGCCATCATGTCTGTCCAAGTACAGAATCAGCAAACAAGTCCCATACCATTGCATCGTGGAGTGAGACAAGGGGACGTTATTTCCCCGAAATTGTTCACTAATGCAATGGAGGATATGTTCAAGACGCTGAACTGGAAAGGACGTGGCATCAACATAAATGGCGAGCGCATCTCTTGCAGACGACATCGTCATCATGGCAGAAACCCTGCAGGACCTACAACAGATGCTGAATGACCTGGCTGACTCTTCTATATGCATCGGCCTACGGATGAACTTGGATAAAACCAAGGTCATGTTCAATGAACATGTTCTACCGGAACCGATTGCAATACACGGTGCCGTTCTCGAAGTTGTTCAAAAATATGTGTACCTCGGGCAGACATTGCAGTTAGGTAGAAACAACTTTGAGGACGAGGTGAATAGAAGAATTCAGCTAGGTTGGGCAGCGTTTGGGAAGTTACGTCAAGTCCTGACATCGTCGATCCCACAGTGTCTGAAGACGAAAGTCTTCAATCAGTGCGTCCTACCTGTGATGACATACGGAGCCGAGACGTGGTGGACACTGACGGTACGGCTGGTCCACAGGTTCAAAGTCGCTCAACGCGCTATGGAAAGGGCTATGCTCGGCGTTTCTCTGAAGGATCGCATCAGAAATGAGGTAATCCGGCAGAGAACCAGAGTTATCGACATAGCCCACCGGATTAGCAAGTTGAAGTGGCAGTGGGCTGGCCATATTTGTCGAAGAACCGATAACCGTTGGGGTAGACGAGTTCTGGAGTGGAGACCGCGTCTAGGCAAACGTAGTGTAGGACGTCCTCAGGCGCGATGGAGTGACGATTTGCGCAAGGTGGCTGGCAGGAGCTGGATGCGAGTAGCCCAAGATCGATCTAAGTGGCGTGCATTTGGAGAGGCCTATGTCCAGCAGTGGACTAAGATAGGCTGTTGATGATGATGATGATGATGAATTTTAAATCGTGTTTGAAAATTGAACAATTTCGTATGGAATCTGGCAACCCAGTCAAAGTTAAGTCTGAGGCAGCTTATAATGTCAACTTAATTACTATGTTAAATGTCAATCAATCCAGTCATGCATGATATTCGTGAATTCGTGGCAAAATCACTATACCAATTTATGATTGATCCTTCTTGAAAGAAATACCCACAAAGTACCTAATAATGTAATGAAAAATGAACGGAATGATTATCCCTGTTTTAGTTAACTATTGAATAGAATATATTTGATACTTTGGCAACAAAAAAATATATAAATAAACTAGCCAATTGCCAATCAATAATTATATAGTCTTGTATTATAATATTAATTTAAAAATTCGGGGATAACATAAATTCGAGTTTTTTATCAAACGATGTACAATCATGTGCACTACACACACTACATGTCATAAAAATTTGGAGTCTGGCGGAGACTGACTACCAACCCCCACAAATTTGAACCGCGTCCTTTAAAAATTTTTAATTCTTAGACGGGACTCGCATTTGACTATATTCGATTTTTTCGATAACATATTAACTATTCACGTCACTATGGCAATGTGTAAAAATGGCCATTATATCGTGCCGCGACTTTTATAGTAGAAGCCCGCGTTTTCATCCACGTTAACTTTTTTTTGAGAATCTTACAGGAGGAACCTTACGTTTTTACGGGATAAAAAGTATTTTTTGTCTCAGCTCGGGGCATAAACTATATGCGCACTGAATTTCATCCAAATCCATTCAGTAGTTTTTGCGTGATTGAGTAACAAACATACAAAGTTACAAACTTTCGCATTCATAATATTAGAATTTAGGATTGTTCGTAGGTCAATTAATGTTTACCTTCTGATCCCGACCCCAGTGACTCCACCGCATATACAAACATTGTTCCGTAAAATCCACACAGCCCATTCCCATCATAAAAATAAGAGGTCATGGTCATGGGAGCATTACTACCCCTCTGAAAAAAATTCAAGTCCTGCTTCCCCTTACGTACACAGTAGCCGTCGGATCATGAAGATGAGGGGTAACAATAAGTGTCTCTTGCAAACTTAACTTACATTCCTTATGTTCCTTAACTTTCTGGCTCTTCGTCGGCCACTGCCACGGCATGATCTCTTCCCTCGCTCGGCTTGTGCTTTTTTGTTCAGGCGACGACTTCGCTCGATGACGCTGACTGCGACATAAGCCTCTCTAGAGCACCCGTCTCCTGATTCGCTCGACCATCGGGGGCCCTTACTCCCGGGTGCCCTCAACACCTGGAGCCAATACCACCAGGAACTTCGACCACCGGGAGCCTCCAACCCCATAACCCCAGGAGAATCCAACCCCATATGCCCCCAAACTCCGAAAGACCAACCCCCAGTTTCCCCCCACCCCCGGGAGCATCCATCCCCAGGCACTTAAAACTTTAATAAAATTTAATCGTACACAACCAAGGAAGTTCTATGCGGGAAAAGAATAAATAGTTCATTCATAGAGCAACACGGCCGATGCGGCGAAATTCCTTGGTAGAAAGTATTTTATTTACTTTTGAATAGTATCTATACTAATATTATAAAACTGAGGAGTTGTTTGTTTGAACGACTTAATCTCAGAAACTATTGATTCAAATTAAAAAAATATTTTTGTAATAGATATCCTATTTATCGAGGAATGTTAAAGGCAATAATACCTTCATAAATCACGATAAGACGATACTACGATGAAAAATAATGCGAAACGGGCAAAAATATTCCTTTTCTGAGAATTCGTTGCGTGCGCTGCATAAACGGTCCCCTAACAAGTTCTGAAAAAATGACCGCGACAACATATTATGTTTTAATTTAAACGAATAGTATTTGTAATTTATATATATGATTATTACTATTGTGATTATTTAATTTTAATATGTATTTTTTTTCTAATTCTGTATGTTATTTGAGTACCACCTATGAGTATTAGGGTTCTACTCCTGAAATAAATGTTTATTATGATTATTAAATGTCTATTCTTTAAGGTTGAATTAACACCTTTTTGAAGTAAAACTTCTTTGGAATCTTTAAAATATACGCTATTCCGGTCAAGTGGACGTGACAAATTTATTGTAGTGTTGACCACCTCACCAAAGCTAATTAAAAAGCCAACTCGATACATTTCGTGTCAAAAACATTAGAATGTGTCACATCGACATTCTAATGTAAAAAATAAAAAGATTAATAACATTAAAGAGTACGCTGCATGGGCATTGTCTCCTTTAACTTACCTAAAACGGGAGAACTTTGTTTGTAATTTATATATATTGTTATTACTATTGTGATTATGTAATTCTAATATGTATTTTTTTTCTAATTCTGTATGTTATTTGAGTACCACCTGTGAGTATTAGGGTTCTACTCCTGAAATAAATGTTTATTATGATTATTATATGTCTATTCTTTAAGGTTGAATTAACACCTTTTTGAAGTGAAACTTCTTTGGAATCTTTAAAACAGACGCTATTCCGGTCAAATGGACGTGACAAATTTATTGTAGTGTTGACCACCGCACCGAAGCTAATTGAAAAAGCCAACTCGACACATTTCGTGCCAAAAACTCCAAGAAACATTAGAACTATATACTAGTATACTCTATGCATTAGAATGTGTCACATCGACACGACATTCTAATGTAAAAAATAAAAAGATTAATAACATTAAAGAGAACGCTGTATGGGCATTGATGTCGATTCTGGCATGATTCTCTAAAGCTAAACTTAAATTTGACAACAGTGCATCCTTGTCCTTCTCTATACAGAATGAAAAGGTGAGACTGACCTTAAATTTAGTTTAAGTTTAGAGAATCACGCCAGAATTGACACCAGTGTCTCCTTTAACTTACCTAAAACGGGAGAACTTTAAAAAAAATATGTAAGAAAGAATGTAGGGATGTCGAAAGTTGAAAAAAATATCGATAGATCGATATTTAATAAAATATCACTCACTCAGGTGCCATCTTTCGTAAACAAAACTAGACAGTCACACACTTTCACAGAATATAATGTAATTCAACACAGCCAATTCACCAGCGAAACAGATTTACAAATCATAGACAGTACTAAATACAGCACAGATCATAGATATGTTGAATATCTTTAATCTGAGATCCAGTTACGATTTTTCCAGATACGAATTTAGTTGGATCGTGATATGCCACTAATATTTAAAAAAATATCGACTTTGATACGAATTTCGATATTGGTTATTTTGTATCAATGTATCGATATATCGAATCAAAATATATCGGCTAAAAATATAGATATATCAAACAAATAATATTGTAATATCGATATATCGATATAATTTCAACAAACCAAAAAGAATCAAAAGAATGTCACTGTCAGTGTCAGTTTGCTGTTTGCCTGCTGCGCTAAGTTTATGTTGTTACTTTTTCATATTTTTGCATTTTTATCAGGGAAAAACACAAATTGAAGTGAGAATGGAGGAAGTTCTCGAGAAAATGGAATCGGTTTTAGGCAGTTTAAAGCCTAAAGATAGCCTAAGCTCATTTGAAGGGCTATATAAAAATTGGGGTAAATTAGATAACCAAGAAGAAAGGCGAAGAGATTTATTGGAGATTCAAAAAAGGTATCTATCTGTAAATAGATATTGTTCTATACTTATCTTTACAGCTATTTAGAGTTTAGTACGACAGGATACATCTCTTGGCTCACCAAAGGTGCAGGCTGAGAGCTCGGTTGATTAATAATTGCATATACATCATAACCCTAACTTCACCTTAACATAACAATGCTAAATTTGACATTATTTGGGCCTAAGATACCTATAATAATAATCTCAGGTTGACAGTCCATCGCCTACTACAGGTAGTCAATGAACTGGCAACAAGGTGGTATTATGGCCAGCCAATAACTGCAACCTGACACTGCGACTTTTATGTGTGTGGAATAGCGTCAGTACTCCTTCAATGCCTCCAGGAAGTCCAACAGTCTCAGAATATTGCATGCTGCAAGTCATGTTTTCGGTCTTTGTGTAATAAACTTTGTTTTTGTAATGCAGCTACTGCTCTTTGCCTCTTATGTTTCTGGGTATGTACACATATATTGATATATTAGACCACGGATAGGCTTTTACTATCTGTTTCACCTAAAGTTAAAGAAATTGTTTTCTAGTAAAATGTGTTGAAGTTTGCACAAAACCGCATCTAAACCCCATTAACCATTTTACTTATTACTGTTACATGAGATAAATTAAAAGTCAACTCATCGTAGCCATGTTTTTATTTCAGAGAGAGTGTTCCATTATATCAAATAAATCAATAACATTTACACTATACATACTAGGTTGTGTTCCATACACATTGATACAAATATTATTTCCAACAAAATGTTCTTTAGATTTAGACATCTAGCAGTTAAATGCTTAAAATGAAATGTAATGGTCTTGTTTATATTTTTTTCAGTAATAGAAATGCAAAGTTGGACCTGTTTAGAGGTATACTGGACCTAGTAAACACTGTAGAAGAAAATGATATCTTCAAATCTAGTAAAAAAGTAAGGATCAAGTGAATATTTACCAAAAATAATTTAGAAAGACTTATTAAGTTAAATGGAATAAGGTATAAGAGTGAAAATGTAATAATCTAATTTTGGCTATGATGAGACCTGTTTTCTCCTGATGCAAGAAATATGAATATTCATATTCACTGAATAGAAGACATTTACCGAATATTTGTATTCGGTGAATGTCAAATATTTACGAATACTGTAAAAAATACTTTTGTAAGTGTTCTGTTATCTGAGTTTGTACGCATCTCTCCGTTCAAAGGCTCCAGGTGTAACAAAATTGTCATATTAGAATTGAAACGTAATGGTAAAAATTTGCACTCAGTTTAAAATTAAAAAACACTTGCGCAAAAATATTTTTCACAAAAACCATGTACAGTCATCTCAGAGAGGGTGTATAAATGAGCATTTTATTACTCTGCAGAGTTATCCGTATTTGCTGGATAGTAGATGCTGGAAGTAGTAGTTCATATTCGTAAAAGTAGTATTCATTGCATCACTACTGTTGTGCAATCAGTGATTTTTGGGTATGGTAAATTTAAAATAAATAAAATAAAATAAAAATAGCCTTTATTCTCTGATATAGTTATACTACTTACTAACTAGCCGTATTACTAATTTCCTATTGCTACAATTTAATTTAATTTTACATTGCTTACAACTAATATAAGAAAATTGGTAACACCAGCACTATCTTAATCAGGTTGTTCTCCTCGGACATAGGCCTCCTCTAAAATTTTCCATTTTTTCCGATCTCTTGCTAATCTGCGCCATCCTTGTGGTAGGTCATCCTCCCATCTTCTTTGTGGCCGCCCTCTTGTCCTCCTCCCATCTCTGGGGTACCAAGATACGACCTCTTTGGTCCATTTTTCTTTGGGGGATCTGATCACATGTCCAATCCAATGCCATTTAAGTCTCCTTATTTTCTTGGAAACATCTGCCACACCTGTGATTTTTCAAATTCTGCTCAGTCTCCACTTGTCTTTCAAACAGATGTGCAGCATGCTTCTCTCTATCCCCTGCTTACATACCTTGAGTTTTTGACTGCGCCTTTGTCAGGTATGGTAGATTTAGCCTACATAAAATAGAATTTCTTATGTTCCAAGCATAAAAAGATTGTGATGAGAAAAAGAAATGAATTTAGCTATTATTAATGGCTCAATTACATTTGGTCGTTAGCCCATATTCCGATGCACGAAAGACATTCCTTAAATTTGGGCACCCAAAGCATTATTTACACTGGAATATGGGCTGGAAGATGGTTTCGGGTATCTAAAATGACTTGACATACTCGATTCCATTCATTTACACTTTGTTGTTTATCCAAATTCTATTAGAAATTGTATTCAGGCTAATGACCAAGTGTAATTGAGCCATTACAATCAACAAGACATAAACATTGATTGTACACTAATAATATTTGTTTTAGTATATTTCTTACTAATAGTATTAAAAAAAATGTTTAGGTTCACTACAGACCCAGTATTTATGTTGCTGGTTTCAATAGAGCATCACCAGCATACAACAATGTCCTAATGATGTCAGAGTGGTTGATAGAAAAGCCTTCAGATTTTGCTGAGAATTGGTACATAACACCATGCCCAAAGGGAACCAGAGTACTTGTAGTTGCCAATAATGTAAGTGATTGGAATAGGTATTGGATAATTTTGAGTGGAAAAGAAAAATATATCAGATAGTCAGTTACGGCAAAGTGTCAAATTATCTCAATTGTTGATAAATATAATACGATAATATAAAGATTAAACTCAAAGTCTGCTGTAGTAATTTGTAAGCTTTACACAAAACTTTGTTTCTTTAAAAGTTTGACTTCATAGTTACTTAACTTCGTACATTTGAATTTACAGACAGCAACAGGTAGTCACCCAAAACTAAAATTTATCTCACTTGTGTTTGCTGATGCTTTACAATGTATTGAGAAAACTTGTCAGTATGTGGTAATGTGATGTGTCTGTACATAGATAGGTAATAAAGCCATATATATTTGTCAGTTTGTAATGTACCTAATGTTGTTTTTTTTTATTTAAGGGGATAACAAAATGTTATACAAAATATGGTCAATTTTTATTTAAAATGAATTCTGCTCTGCCTGGTGGAAATCGAAATTATCCTAAGAGTAATAAAGGTACATGCTGCGTGTTGGATTGCTTCTATTGTGAAACCAAAAGCACTTTATATGTGTTAGATTTATTAGCATGGAATAATCAGCCCATGACTGATTGTGATGTAAGTTATTTTATGACAACACTCAAAACAACTACAAATATGTATGTATAAGAAAATATCTTTGTTTTTTTTTTATCTTCCATTGTTAATTTTATTTATGTTATATAAGCTAAGAAATCTTTCTTTTTTTGATTGGTGAATATTAGACTTTGTTTTGTATATAAGGTCTCATTTGACCAATGTTCAATAAATACATGAATGAATGGAAGGATAACTATCTAGCAATATTTCTTTGGTTTTCATTTTTAAAGCTAAATAATATGTTAATTTATCATAAAAAATTACCTCTTGAAGAAAAAGAAAAAAAGTTACACATTTAGGTGCCACACTTTGTATGAGATTTTTATTATAAAGTATATTTTTCTTTTAGACAGAATTCCGGTATTTTTGGCTCCAATCACAGTTTGCAGAAAATCCGGAAGTGGGAGTGATTAATAAACAAAACAAAATTAAATTTACTCTGTTACCAAAGAGTCCATGTAAGCCAGATGAATTAAATAAGTAAGTACTATATTAGATATGACAGATATATCTTGCAGTTCATAATATTTTCTAAAAATAATAGGGATGATGACTAAGATAGATTACTAAAAACTATTGGACAAGTATTTTTTATTTTTTCACATAATCAAATCATTACAAAGATATATTGATTTGAAATGTCGCACCTAACACGTCTTGGCACAGTTTGTTGATGTGACTGACTTGTGACGTCACTTCCAAGTAAAGAAGTGACGTCACAAGTCCCTACTCCCAAACCTTCACTCTTTTTATGTTTGATCTTTCTAGGTTGATTGACAAAAAATAAATAAGTGCCCTTTTTTTTATTATCTAGATTTTTGTAACTTTAACCAAGGAAAATATTCAAAGCATACCATGTTTTCCTCCCATAAAATCATACATTATTATCTTCTTCAAAAGTTTATGGCACAGGAAGACAATTATAAAATTACTTTTGTCAGGTTGTTGCTTTGGGCACCTTTGATACTCTACCCTTTAGATTTAAGGTATAAAGTTCAATATATTGACATCAAGTTTGCAGAGGAAAAAAACAATTTATGTTACAGGTTCATGATGACATATCCTCATTTTGAAAGCAACTCACCCAGCTTAGATGGTATCCTGTTTTACCACAGACAAGCGCATTATATCTCCGGCGAGACACCATTAGTTGGCTGGCTTTTCCCTTACATGGTTCCAGAGGTCTTGGGAGCTGGTAAGTGTGTTATTGAATATTATCATTAGTATATTTAGTAATCTGTAGTAATAGGATAGGGAAGAGCTCGATGGCGCAAGTGGCTAGTGCGTTCGGCTGCGATCAACTTTTGCATTAGTCTGTCATTGGATAGGTGAGCAAAAATTTACTATTTCGAGCTCATCCGTGCTGCGAAAGGCACTTTAAGCCGTTGGTCCCGGCTACATCTGCAGTCGTTACCACCTACCAATAGCCCAATCTTCCTATTCCATCCGTAGGGCCTACGCCCCAGCAGTGGGGGCGTTAATAGGCTGTAATGATGTGATGATGATGCGAAATAGGATAATGTGAAGTAAGCGCCCCAGGCATCCCAGGACGAAGAAATGGATACTATAAACACCAAATCTATAATAATAAATTAAAAAATATTTATTTTTTCCCAAAACTTAACAAAAATACAGCCAGAAAATTTTGGGAGACAGGTGTTCCTTGGGTTGTGGTATATTTACCACAACCCAAGGAACACTCTGTGCTAAGGAATCACCTGGTCCCCACCTCAAGGAACATTGTTTATGTCATGTAATTATTTAACCCCAAACAAAGAAAAGAAGACCCCTAAGAAAGAAGAGCTATGCTTTATTACGCTATATATGATGCTTGTTAAAATTCGATTCATAGTATGCATACATACATTCACAGTGTACAGACTGCGCGCCTTGAGCACTTATGTTAAACACAACTTTTTTACCTGCATTGTGATGATCATATAATACCCATCTACATTGATAATAGATTTACCCTCTCTATAAATATAAGATAGTAGCAATGTAGATACCTATATCAATCGAAGTCACAATTGCTGTCATGGCACATTATAAGCATAATTTTTATCTTTACTCTAAATTATCATTTGGACTAAAGATAAAAAAGTATCATTGTCAAATATAGTCCAGGCAACGAATGCTCAAAAACAGGTATAGAGGGAATTGCTTAGAACACAATTTTTGACTTCGTGACTTTGTTAGGACTAGTTAGGAGGTAAACATATCAAAAGTCCCCGCCCGTAGCCCTTAAGCCGGGGGGAGGGGGGGGGGGGGGCTTGAAGGTCCCATTTTTAGGTTTTTCGCATATATCTCGAAAACTATGCATCCTAGCGACATGAGACTTTCACAAAAGTGAAAGCTGATTAAATTTGCTACAAGTCTTATTCAGTCAAATTTTTTGATATCTTGTATAGTTTTCGAGATATCCGCTCTTGAAAGTCTGTAATTATGGAAAAAAAAATTGTTCCCATTTTTGCTCTATTTGACCGGATAACTCTTCAACAATGCACCCAAAAAATAAATGCCGGCCGTAGGGTTGTAGAGCATTAAATTATCTTCAATAATAGAAACAATTGCCTTTTTTTTTTATTTAAGGACAAAATTGTTAGTGTAGTAGACGTACGGGGGCGGTACGGTGGGCACTAGGCCGCGTACTCAGCCCCCACGCGCGGGCCGTCCTGCGCACGTCTGTGGGGTCCTCGCGATACCCCGGGAGACCCCTGCCGCGGAACCTCGGCAAGGCCGGGAGGCTGCTAGGTGCGGAGACGCGGAAGAATCCCTAAACGGGGATTCCGCGGCTTCGCACTAAGCAGCTTAGAGGGTGTTCGCAGGGTTTTTTAGCGGATATTATGCCGTATAGCGCCCGTAAGGGTTACGGGGTCCTCAGTGGGCAGCCACTGCTGAGGCTCGTAAGGCTTGCGGGAGCCAGGTGTGAGGTCCATAAGTAAAAAAGAAAGTAAATTAGTGTCATTGAGAAACTGTAATTATCTAATAATAATATCTGTAATAATGATATCCGCTCTTGAAAATCTGTAATTATAGAAAAAAAAAATGCTTTACATTTATGCTCTATTTGACCGGATAACTCTCGGATAACTCTTTAACGATGCACCGATGTCTAAATAGCACACATGCTCATTTTAGAATATGTACTTGTTGGCCCACTGACCAGGTTCTTCACACAATCCAGAAAATAAGTTTAAAAAAACTGCAAGAGTTAACTACTTTATGCAAAAAAGGTTATTATAAATTAGATGATTATTTAAATGATAAGATTGTCTGGTGTTGTATTGGTCCAGCTCAACACAAAAAGTAGTATTAAGAATGATTAAAATTATAAAACTGGACTTTAAAAAAAATTGAGACGGTAGGGCCCTGTGCCTCTGGTTTTTTTCCGGTTCTCATTGGCTATACAGGTACGAATACGGCAGCAGTTTTCGATACAATTCACTATGACGTGCAAAAAGAGATTTGTAAAAAAATCCAATCTAGTTAATTTCTTGCTCTTTTGGGGTGGGAAGGACCTTGATCCTCGTCTACGTTTACATTTTCTTTGTCTGTGTCATTTTCTCCATCGGAACCCTGTAGGGAAACGGTCAGAGGATCCTCCTGTTCTTCTTCACCTTCGGAGTCAACTTGAGGGACCCCATTCAAGCAGTTCCCCTGGCAATTTTGGCACGCTGGGGAACAGGAACGCAAGACACCCCCTTTAGTCAATACGTCTACTACCCTTTTTTTTTATACGCAGGCAAAAAATACTATTTACAGACGACGGCGCCTTTAAGAGGCACACCGCCGAACGGACCTCACACCTGGCTCCCGCAAGCCTTACGAGCCCCAGCAGTGGCTGCCCACTGAGGACCCCGTAACCCTTACGGGCGCTTTACGGCATAATATCCGCTAAAAAACCCTGCGAACACCCTCTAAGCTGCTTAGTGCGAAGCCGCGGAATCCCCGTTTAGGGATTCTTCCGCGTCTCCACACCTAGCAGCCTCCCGGCCTTGCCGAGGTTCCGCGGCAGGGGTCTCCCGGGGTATCGCGAGGACCCCACAGACGTGCGCAGGACGGCCCGCGCGTGGGGGCTGAGTACGCGGCCTAGTGCCCACCGTACCGCCCCCATACGTCTACTACACTAACAATTTTGTCCTTAAATAAAAAAAAAGGCAATTGTTTCTATTATTGAAGATAATTTAATGCTCTACAACCCTACGGCCGGCATTTATTTTTTGGGTGCATTGTTGAAGAGTTATCCGGTCAAATAGAGCAAAAATGGGAACAAATTTTTTTTCCATAATTACAGACTTTCAAGAGCGGATATCTCGAAAACTATACAAGATATCAAAAAATTTGACTGAATAAGACTTGTAGCAAATTTAATCAGCTTTCACTTTTGTGAAAGTCTCATGTCGCTAGGATGCATAGTTTTCGAGATATATGCGAAAAACCTAAAAATGGGACCTTCAAGCCCCCCCCCCTCCCCCCGGCTTAAGGGTTACGGGCGGGGACTTTTGATATGTTTACCTCCTAACTAGTCCTAACAAAGTCACGAAGTCAAAAATTGTGTTCTAAGCAATTCCCTCTATACCTTTTCGTTGCCTGGACTAATATCATTATAATTATTATCCATGTAGGTGGTTGATACGGGATCATCACAATGTTCAAATGATGTTCAAAGATAAAAAATAAAAATTATGCTTATAACCGAAAAGGTACCAAATGCAGCAAAAATTAGAAAGCTAAGACATCTTAATTTTTGTGGTTACGTTAATAATTCATATATTATATAGTTATATATATACATATATAATATAAATATAACACAAACAAACACCATCCTTTCTAACATTATCTTAGTATGAACATACCTAACACCTACCTACAGAAAAGAAGTATTTATAATTTTTCAGATATTACAGTTAACAAGAGTTATATGTCTCAAAAACCAGAAGGATATGTGAATCAAGCTGATTTTATTCGAAATTTCGAAGAGAAACAGGCTAAGAAGAAACATGGTAGACGAAGTTCCAGAAACAGCAATGCTATGGACACAGCTGATATTAATAAGACTGAGGTATGTATGTTAAACTACCGTTTTAAAGTGTAGAGAATAGTACTAGAACTAACCTTATCATGTACAATGAAGGTTTTCTGGAATGACGGACACCAGGTGGCAGTACTGAGACGAAAGGTCTACTCGTGCGTCAAATTGCATTATGTTCTCATAGTCTACGGATCAATTTAAATGCTCGTTCGATTAGTTGGCGCCAAAAACTTTATACAAAAGATCACACGTCACAGTGGCGCCAAATGGTGACGTAGATTTTCATAAACAACAAAATTAAGATGCTATTGAGCTTGTACCTGTGTGGCGCTCACGAAAAGTTGCCACTTTACATGGCCATTTATATTAGAGCGCGAAGCGCGACGCGCAGACAGGGTTATGTGTTTAACAGTCTATATATGTATGTTTGTTCCTTTGTGGCACACTAGAGACCTAACGCCTGGACCGATTTTGATGATTCATACATCAATCGATTCGTCTTCAATTCAAGAATTCAATATGGGCAAAATTAGGCGCCATATTGTGACGAAGTAAAAAGTTGACAAAATATTTCGAGTGGGGTATCACTGTCTAGATAATCAAAAATCATATTTAGGTTCCTAACACCATTTTTCATTTTATATGATTGTTTAGGATCTACAACGCTTTAAAGATGTATATTAACCACTTACGCTTTTAATTTCAATCTTACGTTTGTATGGATCTTTGTTACTCTTTCACCTAAAAAATACTGAATGGATTTTAATGAAACTTAACAGTAATATAGCTAATTACATATATATAATAATTTATGTAGTTATTGAGTGAATTGGCCAGTATATAACAATAAGTGTCACATAAGACGGAAAGAAATCTCCCATCTGCGAGTCATTTTGGCCTGCACTGCAAAAACAATAAAAGTTACATGAATGTAATGTAGAGTAAAAATGTATCTCTTAAATAGTTCTAAAAAAAGTCCGTGACAACATATATCTATTTTTAATGTGTAAGTCATTACCGCTAAAATAGTGAATCAAAACTAAAATATTATTTGATATCTATTTCCAAAATGCACATTTTGTATTAACAAATCATTTTTTATCAAAACAAATACTTTTATCGCTTTTGATATTTAAAGACTATAAACTTTGCTTTTTACACTATGTCATTTCGACAAATATTTAAAAAGTTACAACGATGACAAAGTGATAGCGCGGTGTACTATGTAAAAGAAAAAAAATGGGGTTTTCGCAGTATATGATCCTATACGAAGTACTAAAAATAAAAATGTGATACAGTTCCTTCTTATTATGTGATGAAAAATATATTATCACAATAGGTATTGATGATTATTGAACTTAATGAAAAACTCAGAATTTTACTCTTTTTCATTTTTTTAACGATATTACTTAATGTTACAAAAAAGTTTTACTTTAATATAATGACAAATAACCCATTTTTCGCAAGTAAGTACATACTTATTGGAATCCCTGTATTTATTAATCAGCTCGCGATAATATTGGTTTTGTAATAATTCTGCAAAATTCAAAGTAAATAATGTAGATTTTTATAGGTAAATCACCCCTTTCAATACCCTACGCCTATAAGTATTGCCATGTTGTAGCTAAGAACCAAGTTCCTATCTACTTCTATATGGGAATTCATTATATTCGATTTAGCTATTAGGGCACGGAAGCGCTACAAACAAACTCACTTTCACATCTATAATATTATATTATACTTACTAGTGATCCACCCGGGCATTATACGGGCAAAATTTATTTATCGGGATAAAATATAGCCTATGTCACTCGGACAAAATGTATTTAAATAAAGAAAAATGTTATAATAAATAATGTAGCTACCTTATGATGAATTAATATTTGAAACCGGTTCAGTAGTTTGACAGATTATTTGTTACAAACATACAAATCTTGCCTCTTTATAATATTAGTATAGATAGTTAGGATAAGATAAGTATTTAATTGATGAAAAAGATTTAAAAATAAAGTAAGTAATAGGTTGTTTTGATTATATTTGTAAAAGTTTCTTAGCATTTGTGCTTAACAGTGATACGTTATTCGGTATTTTTTTAACAAAAAAAAAATGGAAAATAACTGTCATGATTGCACTACACTGGGAGTACTCTTCATTCGAGCTTTACACTACCAATAAAAAAGGGTCGAACACAAAGTCTTTGACCTGTTAAATGTGAACGCTTTAAAAGAAAACTACAAAGAGAACTATAAATTGATAATAAATGAGATTGCTATGGTGCTCTACCTAACGTTATGAAAATTTTATTATGCGCCTTTAGTTTAATCAAATATTATAAACTTTGCTTTGGTGATTGCATAATTATTCAATTTAGTGATCTAAGGCAGTTGCCACCATTGTCTAAAACAACAGACGGGAATTACTGCCTTCTTCAACCTGCGACATAAATATCATTGATTGGTATTGTATATAGGCTGATTAAAAACATTTGAAGTTAACTTCTGGCATCTACATATTGGGTTTCTGTGAATTATGTAGGTATATCAAATTATGAGACTAGGGACTGACACTGAATTTGTGTATATCACAATCTTAGACGTCTGGCATTGACATGACAATGCAGCCACTGCCAATTTTAAACAGTCGACGAATAAAAGTAAATGAATTTTATATTTACTGCTAAACTATTAAAAAAAACATAAACAAAAGATGACTTTTTGAGTAAGTGCTAGTTTACTATAAAATTTACATACATTAGAAATATTTATGTAACGACTTCATTTATCTTCACACATTTTTGCGAAAATTGAGGCCCATCTGTAGCCTTGACCCCGCTGGTAAAGTCTTTATATGTCTTAATAAATCAATCTTTTAGACCGACGCAAGGTACTTAATAATTTCCGCGATATTAATTCCCTTACTGAAGTAACAAGACTACGGTATAAACCGTCTTAAAATACTAACTAACTAAAAAGTGTGAAATAAAAAAGGTAAATTTAAAAAATCAAAAAACCCGACTGGTTAATTATACTTCAAATAAAAACTGAAAAGAAAAAAACAAGTCCAGTAGTCTATAATTCTGTTAATAAGGAACAAAGCTACTTTAACAGTCGGGACCCACTGTTGAAAAATATTATGTATTCTTGAATATCTAATGGGTCCCGACTGTTAAAGTAGCATTGTTCCTTATTAACAGAATTATAGACTACTGGACTTGTTTTTTTCTTTTCAGTTTTTATTTGAAGTATAATTAAGCAGTCGGGTTTTTTGATTTTTTAAATTTACCTTTTTTTTTATCTTCATCTATCAGGTAGATTACCAGAAAGTGTTGAACACGTATTTTTTCTTTATTCACATAATAAAAGCATTACAGAGATATATTGATTTAAAATGTGGTATGATGATGTCCCGTCTTGGTACAATTTTTACCCGTAAGTAACGTCACGAGCCCCCTGTTCCAAATTTTGACGCACTTTATTTGTGTCATTTTTTGATAATCTAACTGGTAAACTAAATAAAATTTCGTTAAATACAACCGTCTTTTGTAGATGGAAGCCGAAGAAAGCACAGAATATTCAGTTGTTGCTGTAGTAGCAGAATCAAAAACGACTATGGAAACCGAAGAAACTTTAAGAGAAAAAGAAAACATAATAGAAAATATAAAATACTCTTTAGTAACTGAATCGACAACGTCAATGGAATCCGAAGAATCTACAAAGGAAAAAGAACAAAGCACAGAAGACAAAAAATAGTCTTACAAGATGGTTATGATCCTTCTGAAGAATTGTCTTTGTCCTTAAAAGAGGTTAAATAGATCAAATTTCTTCAGCCTCTCTTGGATATTGCATTCTTGGGATAGATAATGAGTTTAATGAGGAATTGTTATCTACCTAACCACGACAAAAAGCTACCTAGCAAAACTAGCAAAAAATATAGGTACAACTAATGGCAAGATGTTCAGAATAACTATGAAAAATGAAGCGTGAACAGTTATTTTGTACACAAAATATGTCTACAGCGCAAGCTTCAGTGTTTCTCGATAACCACACAGTGCAAAAAATTCACTGGTTGGCGTATTATGAATAAGTATTTATAATGCATAAATATTCGATGTACTTTCTGACCATAATATAATGTACCAAATTAAATACATGTAATTCTGTAATATACAGAATCTCAACAATATAATCGAGTTAGTGTTTTATTCTTGTACCGATTATATCATAGTTCATTTGACTGAGAAAATTCACTATCTACTTTAATATAGGGGAAAAGCCGGATTGTTGCCCCACTTTTCAATAAAGCTCTATGATTCAAAAATGTGGACCTACAAGTAGCGATGCGATGCATCAAGTAATAGACAGGTCCTTCTTCTTTCATAGTAGCCTATTTTGTAAACATAATTAATATCGGTTTTGAGTAAATCCGGTTTTAATAGACCTCTCAAAAAAGAAAAGTTGCTTACTTGAGCGGAGAGTAGCCTAAGGTTTAAAATTTATACGGGAATACTTTCACTTTGGGGGAACAGACCACTTACTAAGATTTTTGAAGATACAAACATTTTATATCAAATTGTGTAAGCAATTTTTAATTGTGATTGTTTGTATCTGACTCCCACTCGAACATTTATTTTGTAGTTGCATCTTTTCTTCACAGCATTACTTATGCTTTCTTGAATAAATAGATGCTGGCAGTTTTTTTAACTATTTTTTAAAGGATATTTACAAAGCATTCCCAAAATATAAATAAATATATATTTAAAACACTGTTTATTCACAACAGGTAGGAAAATATTAAAATCAGTATTTCGACAATGATAATTTATAGTTACCCATAGAGCATCTATCTGTAGTAAATAGGGCAGCCATCCTTATGGGAACGGATACTTGCTCCTTTTTTTTATAAAATAAATAAAAAACTACTCAACAACGACACATTAGAAACAGTGTAATTTAAACTCCAATGCATGCCAAGAAACTAAAAGATCCCTAAATCAGTTCAAAATAGTGTACTCTCTAATATCGAATTTTATTTACTCACACGGAATTAACGCGCGCGCCAAATTCTACAATTTACATGACATTACATCCTTCGGGAAATATACTTACAGAAACAATATCCGTAACGTAGTGTACTCAAACCGGGGCAAGTATCCAACTGCGGCAACTATCCGGCTTTTACCCTACTATTTTATGTAGCGTAATAGCCGAAACAGACTTTTGAAATGCGACGCCACCCGATGCGTGTTGATGACACTTTGACAATTAAATATATTTTCTATGATCAGAATCACATTAGGAACATACGACGCGACGCGATGCGCACACACTGATCATAGAATATACGCGTCGCGTGGCTTGCGTTTCAAAAGTCTGTTTCGGACTTTACCATTGGCGGTCGCTTACTTTCAGAGGGTTGCGTCTGTAACTGCACATTATTTTATTCAGTAATAAAATGCAATTTATAAGTAATTTGTTTTTTTCTGTTTACTTTAAAATACAAAGTCATCATCTTGCACTTGAAGACAATTTAAGCTTTTGATCCTGACTGAATGCAGTCTGGGTTCTTACCCACCATTCTGCACTCGGCCTGCGTGATGGGTGTTGGCTTGTTTGGACTCACGGTGCGGTTTCCCCCACCAGCCGCACCGCACCTTCCCATATTCCATCCATAGTGGAAGTCTGTGCCCCCTTGTCACGGTTACCCTGGTCTACTAACTAAGGTCAGAAATGAGACAACAGAATACCATGCAAACTATTAACTTTAATAAAAAAACTCGACCCGGAGAAATCAAAAATTATACAGGTGGGGTTGAGCACTTAACCCACACAAGTTCTTGGCTTCGACGGTTCAGGAACTCTCCTGTGTAACACCGGGTAGTTGGTAATCCCGGGAAACCGCTGGCGACTGGAGGCTGCAGGAACGGGTAGCCCGGCAGAGAGTACTCTCGTGTGGTGGAACTCTGTGAGGTGATACCGGCCAAATTGGTATCCCGAGCGTTGAACCCTGGAACGCGCAATTAAAATACAATTACAAGCCGTCCAGTACTATTTTGCGAACATCCACGGTAACTGCGTCGTAAAAGAAAGTACCTAATTGTAGTAGTAGTGCCGTGGAATCATCACAATCAGAAACGGAGATTACAATTTCGACAAATAATAATATAATTGATTGGATTGATAATGAAATTTACGTATATTTAAAAATTATTGAAACATGAGGGTGGAATTAAACGACGATGAAATCTTTATGTAGCAAAAGTATGCAAAATCAATATAAATGTGATTTATATTAATACTAGCTGACCCAGCGAACTTCGTACCGCCCTAAAAAAATAGGGGTTGTCCAGCGGACAAAATTGTGAATCTAAACCATTCTCAGATCCCCTTGAACACACACAAAAAATTTCATCAAAATCGGTCCAGTCGTTTAAGAGAAGTTCAGTGACATACACACTCACAGAAGAATTATATATATAAAGATGCATAATGTATGTTAAACACAAACATTGGGTTTGAAAATGATTTCTTACACTAATAACTACTTTAACTGCCTGCGACATTAAAATTACCACTTACCCAGTTTCGGGGCGGTCGACACTCCACAATAATTTATCGTGTTATTTATTTGAGGAACGCTTAGTGACGATCACGATAGTATTATATTATGGTTACGAGTTTTAAGGATTTTTTTTTTTCCCATATTAAAGACCAAATACATATGTGACGTACGTTCACTCAAATTAGATCGAGAAATGAAATGAAATGGTGGGCGGCTGGTCATGCAGTTTTAGCTTAGCGAGAACAAAAGGTCCTGCTTGGAGCGCTAAAATGTTGCATCGCGCGAGTTTACGTATACAAATCCGCTTGATGAATTTATGTTGCATTTTAGTGTCAGTGAATAGTTTTATTATTGTAAATAGCCAATTTGATTATTAATATTATTATGATTTGTAAATAATTTAGTTATAATAAAATTGTGTTTTATTTTTATAAGTAGTTTTTAGTGTAGAATTAAATCTCATAGTGTTATTATTTAGTTTTAGGCATTGTAAATATTAAATTTAAGTGTACTTTAGGGTAATAATATGAATTATGTAACACATAACGTTACACCCTGCAATGCAGATTAGGCTGATGATTATGAACCAGTGTGAAAACGCCGTAAACGACGATCGTATTGATAAAAGAAATAAGTGTTGGAAACAAATGGAGCTCAAATAGGTTACTGATAATCTACCGAAGTGTTGAAAAGCTAATATGCCCAAGAGCTTCGTGAAAAAATCCTAAAAAATACTTTGTAGAGTGTAGGTAGGTACCAAATCAAAGTTTGTTAACTTAAAGCATTCGTAGACTTAATTTAACATCATCGTCCCACATTAATTATGGTAATGGAAAAAGGTGCTCATCGATACTAGGTATTAGTGTGGATTCTGGCATGATTTAATAAACTTCTAAATTTAAGTTTAGGTTTAGAGTATCATGGCGGGATCAACGCCATTGTTTAACGCCCTAATGCTGCGTTATGGCCCCTTTACACCATTGGCCATGATGGGCGATCACAAGATTGGCCATGATCGATACCATCATTAAACACCAGCTCATTTTTAGTTCTCGTTACGTTTTTTTTTATTGCTAGGTAGGCAAATGACTGTCTCTACCCCATCTGATGTTAAGTGGCAAGGACGTATAAAAAAAGGCGGACAGAATTTCGGCTAAGACAAAAGTGAGGCACCGTAATGGCGGCGGTTATCTATGAGTGAGTGAATGCAGGGTTGCTAGGTTAGCCAATTTTTTACCAATAAAACACAGTAAAAAGATCAAAATATTTTAATTGTTCAAAATTTTACCCGACTGCGGTGGATAATGTTTTTCGAGCGTGTATGCATGTATGTATGCCCAATAATAAGGCGCCAAAATGAAACCTTTAGAAAAAAATGCTTATAACCCGTCAAGCGAGGTATCAAAGTAAAGGGTCTTAAAAGAATGCAGTGGATCCCCGGTAGTCCGACAAACATTTTGCAGGGCAGTGTCGAACTATCGAATTTGTCGGATTATAGAGTACTGCCTAAGACCCCCTATAGTCCGAATTTTTTTACAAAAGAGTACCTTGTAATCCGACAAATTACAGATCCAATGATAAGATTACAAAACATACTTTGTTATGTATGTCAAATTTAGTAAATTAAACAACACAATAGAAAGATTATGTTTTATTATAAAAGTAACGTCAAATGCTATAGAATTTACAAAAAAATATAAAAAACAATACCCTACGCGTCGAGCACAATTGTGATGGTGCGTACAAGTTGTAACTTGTTCAATAGTGAATTAGCGAATACTTGTATGTAATAGACGATGTCGGATTATAGGGGGTGCCGCATTAGCCAGGGGCCGGATTACCGGGGCTCCACTGTATTTAGAAAATAGGTATGCAAATCGTGTACTTAAAAAAAAATCGTGTTGCACTCGGGGACTGCCGCGGTAAAGCTATTGCATAGAATTATTTGTCAACTTATGCAATAATACTATTTATTTATGCAGTATTTTTTTTCTTTGATATTAATTCAAGTTTTTTCTCTGATATTAATAGATGGCGAGGCAGGCCTTATGATATTTTATTGGGCAAGCACAGCAAACAACAGCATTGCCCGGCGCCAAAAAACTTCCACATGCTCCACAGTTTACCACCTTAGGTCCAAAAATTATAATTATAAAGTCTAAATAAAAGGGAGACAAATAAAAATAAGAACAGGTGCTGGGGTCTAAAACAAATATATAAAAAATGGAAAAAAATGTAATAAAAAATAAAACACGAGTGCGGGATTTGAACCGACGACCGCGGTGATGCGTCGAACGTTGGTCCCGTGGCAAAAATTTAACACACTGCACCGTTTCCATCGATACTGGAAAGGCGAAAATTGTGTTCATACGCACTGTTTTTAAGTTGGCATTGATCGAAATGTTTTGTTTAAATATTATCGTTACTAATATTATTTATCGTTGAAAATATTTTAAAACTTTTGTTTCATTGTAGGTTTTTTTAAATAATCAAAGTTAATTCAAACTATTATATATAACAAATATTGACTTTTTTTATATTCCACTTTTTTTTCAACACTGAACTTAGCGCACTTTGCTGGTGCATTTGAAAACTAATTCACGTTCCAATTAATCATCAGCATAATTCGGCATTGGTAGCCACTGAGTCGCATTATGCTCTGTAATTGGAAAACTAACATGAAGTCTGTTTTTATTTTTGTATGAAAAAGTTTATATTTTCCACTTTTCATAAGCCAGAGTAAATCACCTAAATATGCCTGGCCAGGCCTGCATTCTTTTTTATATTTCTTAAATTAACAAAACATGCATTGAGTACTGTTTGTAATTGAGGAGTTCCATTGTTTCCCTCCGAAAATACTCATCAGCTCTGCACTTAATTAATACAGCCATCTCGCTAATAAACTGATTCAAACAAAAAAATAATCATCAAAATCGGTCCACGAATCTCGGAGATATGCACGAACAACAATTGAAAAAAAAAATAACAAATATGACGTATAGAACCTCTTTCTTTTTGAAGTCGGTTAAAATTTTTAATTTACCTTTTGAGGTACTGCATGCGTAACAACACGCCGGAGTCCTCTTTTAGTAGTATATAAGTCTCCAGCTTCAAAATGGATACTGCAAATGACACTATATTTATTTGGAATCCATTCATCATCTCCGTTACAATTCCTAATAACTTGGATCCAGTCATTTCTCCATTCTACATTTTCTTTAGGGAATCTGATAAAAAAGAATAACAAATAATAGATTGAAGCTAATGTCACCCCAATTTACCATATTTTAGGTAATATGGTTACGTGAACATTGACAACACTGGACTTTAGATTAATTATTTTGTGCTTAGAATGAAAATTGATTTCGATTTCTAAAAACTAGAAAAAAGTGATTATATTGTTCATTTACCTATGAAACGTGATTCCTGGATTTTTTTTCTTTCGGTCACTACGGTTTTTACACCATTTTACCACGCAAGACATCTTGTTTTAACTTATTTTTATCTCCACTTAACGTATCGGCTGCTTTGACGTTTGCACGCGTAATGGCTGACTATGGTGTGAATGTGTGTGTGCCGGCTTGTACATATAGCGACCTGGCCGACTCTGAGCGACACAGTTTGTTGTTTGCCGGGACTCTGTCCGCCTTTTTTTATACGTCCATGTTAAGTGGTGATAAAATCCAAACGCGAAGATAGCTGGTACAGCAGTTATAAACTGCTACACCAACCATCCTCACCTTGCCGGCCTGCAAAAATGCTTCTTCACGCCTCTCTTAAAGGAGGTTATTGGAATCCCAGGTTATAGGAAGGAACACGTGCGCGGTTAAAGAATTCGACTTACGATTATCGATTATTACGTCCGTTTATGTCGCTGCTGTACAAGTTTCCATACAAAAATTGACAATGACTAAAACCAATATCGAATTCGAATAGTTTGCAAGTGCGAAATGTCATTGATGGTAGCACATATTCAGTCCTCATAAATATATTGACACTACCTTAAATCAATGGCAGTGAGTAAGTACCAACCCACATAATAAAATCCTCACGATTATTTGCAAACCGTAAATCCTTATACGTCCAAGAATGTTTCGAAGTGCTTAATATTTATAGGGTACTCATAAACTGAAATATAATTTACCTACAGTTGAGGCCTCTTCGGTTGATACAATTTGATATTAGTAGCGTCTTTGAATAAATAAGAGCGATATTTTTATTGCAAATTGCTGTAATGTTTCCGAATCAATTTCTATTCTTCGTGCTTCTATAATCTCTTATCTATTAGACAAGTCCGTCCGTCCGTCCGTCCGTTGTGCTGTTTCAGCGGCCAAACCGTAAGAGATAGATAAAGAGAATGTTTAAGTTATAAGTTAAGAATAGTCTGATAAGACTACAAACCGGATTTGAGTAACGTAGCACTTCCGGTTTTAGAAATCACGTGATTTCTATTTCAAACGAAACCACAGAAAATCTCCGAAGTTCTCAATTAATTAAATACATTTTTTTTTTGGTGAACATTTGGTTCACTGGTTTGCTAGTTAATGCTGTTTGCATAAGCCATACTGCCAGTTAATATAATATTGTAACTACAGTAGAGTCCTTTATTACTTACATAGAAAAGTGAGTTGATTATAAATTCAAAAATAGGTACACTTTTTTACGAAAAATGGCTCTTAGCTCTAATAGTTATTTCAACTTGTCCAGAATCGCAGTAAGTAGGTAAATGGTAATTGTAGGTGTACCAATAGGTA